ATAAACCTTCCCTAATACTTAAGAAAAGCCACGGCATTTGATTTGAGGAATTGGGGAAAAAATACTTAATCTTACGGCTTAAGGGCTAATGATGGTGATTAATGCTAATTAATCACTTATCTTATGTTTAATTATTCAATTAAACATAATACTTAATTACCAAAATTATTTCAGACGTAAACGGTACGCCGAAAATAGATTTCGGTAATCCCGACTGAACTTATTTAATTCCGAAAATAATAAACGATAACGTTACTATATCGGAATTAAACGTAATTTATACTGATAATATCTCGGGATATTACAAAGAGATATTTATAATAATTGGTATATTAATTAAACAAGAAAATGAAATGTAATATATGGTAATGTAGGACAAGAAAAAGTTAAACTTTTTAGGGTAACTAATTGTATAAGAAAAGAAATAAGAGATCAATCATAGATGTGATGTGAATAATATAAATATTAAATGCAATCCAAGCCCAGTTATTATTTTGTTAAAAAAATACTAATTGGTATCCAAGCCTAGCTAAACATAGTTTTTTGCCACATAGGATTTCGAAGCGTGCAAATTTGACACTTAGGCTCAACAGTGCAATTATAGATAGGGGTGATAATCAATCCTATTTTTACTTTCTCGTCATTCACATGCAGAAATAAAAAAGTTATATACCATCACAAAGCTTTAAATTTCCTGGGTATACTATTTACAGTCTCAGTTACTGTACTCTTTGATATAAGAACACAGACAAGTATTATAATGTTAAACCTGCAAGGGTTCTAAGAATGATTTTGGAGGCCGTCACTTTGCAGATGGGGCATACATTCTTCACTAATAACCACCGTTCAATACAACCCGTGTGGAACTCATGACCACAATCGAGTTTCCCGCCATCATCTCCAGCAGCATAACTCTCCTGATCAACAAGCGAAAATAAAACAACTCACACCAAAAATCTATGTTTTCGCTGAGAATCATCCAAATCAAGCAACCAATAATAATAAATCCCAGTGAACCGCTTTGGAATGCAAGAAAACTGATCATTTTAACTTTCGACTTACTGCAAAAAATAATGTGTGATGTGATAGTTTCAAGTTTTATTGATTAATTTCAACGTCGTTATATAATGAATCCGTGAAAAGGTGTTCAATCACATACAAAGCAAAAATAAAGAAACGAGAAGTACAAATGGCTCCAACCTGACATATGCACCAAAACTTCAAGTCGGGCGAGGCATATTTCCATTGTCTCATAGAGCCCCTTATTTTTGTCCGGCTCACACCACTACTCACATTCTCTATGGTCTCCTCCAAGGACAGTAATTCCTGTCGATAACCAAATGTTTCTCGAAAATCAGAGAATGTGAAAGACCCAATATATTTAACTAAAAACGAACTAAAAAATTACCTCATAAGACATACTGTCAATATCTAGCCTCATGTCTCTGTATATATCGCGCGACTCACCGTATAAACTCATATAAGGATCAATAAGCATATAATCCTGGAAAAAGACGAGAATCATCAGTTCATACTCTTCTTCATAATTTATATCATTTATTATGTCAAAAAATCATGTTAAAGTAGCTTTATTCATCAAGTAAAACTTCCAAAAAAATAACATTAAAAAAAAAAAGGCAATTGGAAATTTAATAAAGGTCACATACCAGAATATCTCTCTCGTCAACAGGCGACAAAGCATCCCGACCATTAAAACGACCACCTGGCACCTCCGCCGACAACTGCCAACCTGTCCGAACTCGTGTGTCTGCCACCTCATCATTTGATGACGAGCCTAAAGTCGATCTCGAAGACATCATCATAATCTCATGTGGCAAAAAGGAAAATGAAGACAAAGACAACGAGGGCCCACCAGAAATCCGAGAATTGTCACGACCTACCAAATTCGTAAGGTGAGTTTCCGAAATTGTCGTACCCCGCAATGACGAACGTGAACTATCATTAATATTAGTGGCGCTACCGGAATTGTACAAATTATGTGGCAGCATTGCTTCCAAGTTTCGGTGGCAATTACTATCCGCTGCATGCCCGTGAAAAGACCTCGCGTCCGACGAACCACTGCTTGACATCCTTGTCTGTTTCTTTTCGAACCGATTATGTTAAGCCAAACAGAACTGGATTGACAAAAGTACGTTGCCTAACGTTAATCGAACTCTTGTTTGTGCAATGAATGTTTATTTTCTCAATAAATCAAGATGGTTCATACATAGAAGCGTAACAGAGAAATTTGTATGTGTAGTTAGTGTCAATTTGCCTTGACTAGCAGTTATTATACACAAAGACATAAGAAGTTCATATGCACAGAATTTTGGGAAGGAAATAACTGACTACTGACTCTACAGAGATATGATATGTTATCAGGAAAATAACACGGTCTCGTTACGGAACCATTCCGTCGAGATTGTAACCGTTATATCATCAAGTAACCGACGGGGATAATTGATTTAAATGTTACAAATTCCGACGGAATGGTTTCGTAACGGGACAGTAGTATCTCCGGTTATCATGTCGCAACAAAAAGTAAAAGACATGAATAAACTAAGGTAAATATAAATTCTTAGCACAACAAATCCTCCCATGAAAATCTGAATTCAGACTAGAACAAACTAGAGCTCGATTTTAGGAAGTTACGACGAAAAACTAAAAAGGGAATTAATTACCTGAAAATATTATAACTAATTTTGAAAAAAAAATAAAGTAATAAAACTAAGGAAGTAAGAAACTTACCACGACCGCTTTTCCCAAAACTTTGATTAATCTTCTCAAAAAAATTTAAGACCTGAAATCTTTTTACAGTCCTGAAAAAATATTAAGTTTGTAAAAAAAAAGAGTCAGGTTATGCAAAACTGGGGTAAGTTTCTTACTTCCTTAGTTTTATTACTTTATTTTTTTTTCAAAATTAGTTATAATATTTTCAGGTAATTAATTCCCTTTTTCGTTTTTTTGTCGTAACTTCCTAAAATCGAGCTCTAGTTTGTTTTAGTCTGAATTCAAATTTTCATGGGAGGATTTGTTGTGCTAAGAATTTATATTTACCTTAGTTTATTCATATCTTTTACTTTTTGTTGCGACATGATAACCGGAGATACTACTGTCCCGTTACGAAACCATTTCGTCCATTCCGTCGGAATTTATAACATTTAGATCAATTATCCCCGTCGGTTACTTGATGATCTAACGGTTACAATCTCGACAGAATGGTTCCGTAACGAGACCGTGCTATTTCCCTATGATAACATATCATATCTCTGTAGAGTCAGTAGTCAGTTATTTCTTTCCTAAAATTCTCTGCATATGAACTTATCAGGTCTTTGTGTATAATAACTGCTAGTCAAGGCAAATTGACACTAATTATACATACAAATTTCTCTGTTACACTTCTATGTATGAACCATCTCGATTTATTGTGAAGATGATAAACATTCATTGCACAAACAGGAGTTCGATTAACGTTAGGCAACGTACTTTTGTCAATCCAGTTCTGTTTGGCTTAACATAATCGGTTCGAAAAGAAACAGACAAGGATGTCAAGCAGTGGTTCGTCGGACGCGAGGTCTTTTCACGGGCATGCAGCGGATAGTAATTGCCACCGAAACTTGGAAGCAATGCTGCCACATAATTTGTACAATTCCAGTAGCGCCACTAATATTAATGATAGTTCAGAACGTTCGTCATTGCGGGGTACGACAATTTCGGAAACTCACCTTACGAATTTGGTAGGTCGTGACAATTCTCGGATTTCTGGTGGGCCCTTGTTGTCTTTGTCTTCATTTCCCTTTTTGTCACATGAGATTATGATGATGTCTTCGAGATCGACTTTAGGCTCGTCATCAAATGATTAGGTGGCAGGCACACGAGTTCGGACAAGTTGGCAGTTGTATTGAACAACTGCAATGTATTGAACAAGCAGGTGGGACCCCCCATTTAACGGATGACCTGCATCCGTGTTAACGCAGGGGAGTCCATTTAAACACAAAAAAAAACAGCACCGATGCGGGTGCTCTAAGACCTACTCCAACCGATACCCAAAACGCAAAAAATGGGGTAAAATTTCTCCAACCGAACTGCAAAATGGAACGCAAAATGGGTTTGCAGCTTTCTCTCTCATCCCTCAAACGCATATATGCGTTCACTGCAAAAAAAAATGCGTATGACCTTTTTTATTTGCACTCAAGTCCAATTTTGCAACTTCCATGACATATTGACCAAGATTTAAGGAAAAAAAATACCCACAATTTACATATTTTTTGTCCATCACTTTGCATTTTTATACATATTGTGAAAAAACTAAAAAAATAAGAAATGTATTTTTCTCGATTGAATGTGCATTTTGTGTTATGAATATGAAAATTAATTATGTTAATATATTTTGAATTTTATGTTTTGCATTTTAGTATACATAAAAAAGCCGAAAAAAAAAATAGTAGTGTTATGAATATGTAAGTTAAGTTAGTTTAATATAATTAGTTAATATTTTTATTTTAGTGGTAACAATAATAAAATAACATATTAATCTATGATAGATTTTATATGGAATATGTTACGTATAGATAATAAATTAATCTAGCCAATGTGAAAATATTAGCAAAATCTATTCATAACAATCATACCAAGATTTTGAATAAATTTATTAACATTATAGTAATTTTTTAATTGAAAACAGGAAAATAGTATTTTTTTCTCTTATTTTAACATGTAATAATAACATATTATGATTATTAATTATTACCTGTAATTAATTTATTATACACTTTTTCCATTGAATATAAAGTAATAATGAGTCTAACTTTAAAATTTGTTAAATATGTGGGTAGTAATGCAAAAATATAAAAGTTGATGTAAAAAAGCATATTCTGAGAATATCCTTTTGAGTTTGAGAATGAGTTTATCGGTTGGAGATGAATTACTGCAAAATATGACAATTACTGCAAAATGAGTTTGAGTATGAGTTTTTCGGTTGGATATGGCCTAACTATATTTCACAATATTTTTCGGGGTAAATAGAACTTACACCCAAGCTTTTCTTCAGCCTCCGCGTGCAGAAGAAGATTCTCAGTTTCTAAGTAATGCATGAAAGCAAGCAAAGACACCACTGTTTGAGTCTCAGTCCTCCAATCACCATGATACCTTCACAAGACAAACAAATCAAAGATATATTTTTAGCTTCGAAAAGACAAAAAAATTCCTCGAGCACAACAAATTCTCCTTCTCACCTGTAATACTGCCCAGGGTATTCTTGGATAATCCCAGCAAGTTTGCTGTACAGTTCCCTTAACTCACCAATCCGTCCCTTGGCCTTCTCCAAAACCTCTATTTAAAAAATACAGCTTTAAGCAACAAACACATCAAACAGAACAAAAACCCACAAAAAGGAAGACAAGATAAAGAAAACAATTTTATTTTTCCATAATGTAAAGCTTCAAAAATTTCTAAAATTTGAAGGCAAAAAACAAACATTAACTTCACTATGCAAGGATTCCCATAAAACCCAATAGTACGAAAGCTAGCTCTATCGCATTAGCAAATTCAAACAACCAAATGAAAACTGAAATAAAAAAATGAGCAGAAAATAGTGCAAAAATCGAGCTGAAAACCCAGAGGAATTCACCAGGTACAGGGCGAGACTGGTGAATAAGCAGAAGGCTCGACTGGATAATCCTCGTGACGGACTCAATCTCCGAGGCAACGCCCCGAAGAAGCTCGCGAAGGCCGCCGGAGCCGTCGAGCTGATGCCGGAACACCTCGAACTGCTTCTCGAGCGCGGCGGCGGTGGGAGAAGGGGGCGCGTTGGAACCACTCCCGTCGCTGGCCATCGAGCTGAGGGTGGAGAGTCCGCCGGCGGATGGCCGCAGGAGGAGTGCGAGTGGGGCGGCGCGGTGGGGGTTAGGGTTTAAGGGGCGAATGGGAAATGAGAGTTTGGTGTAAATGGCGCTTCGAAAAAATGATTTCATCTCTCAATCGATTGCGTGAAGAAAATGAAAAAAAAAATTATTTGTATTGGGATATGTTATTTTTATTAAACTGGTATTTTTACTTTTTTTTATTCCTAATACATATAATAAAAAATTAATAATTGTAGTTGTAAATGTAAGAAAGTGGGAACAATATTCATTTTTTAACAAAGGGACTCAATCTATCTATTAAATATTAATATATAATAAGAATTAACATAATTCACTTTTAGAAACACATTCCCGCTAATTTCATTAATTATTGTTTAAAAATAGTAAATTAATAAAAATCAATATAATTAACGTACATAATCTTTTTAGTCAAATATTTATAATTATTACCTTTATTAGTTGAATTTATTTTTAAGATGATTTTGTTTTATGGAAACAAATATATGGTTACTATAAAAACTTTCGAAATTCTTAATTTAAATATATAGACTTGATTGAGCAATTATATAGAATTAATCGTTAATCTTTATATCTATATATTTCATGTATTGAGTAAAACATAATAAATTAATACTTATGTTATTTTTCATACTTCTTTTTGTTGGCATAGTAGAGTTGCAAGATTATTTTTTTCTTCGTAGACAAGATAACCAAATACAAAAATATAAATAACATTTATGTGCCGCTAAAAAATATTTTGGACAAAATGTATAAATGACTTTTAGAAAATACTTAATTAATTTATGGTATAAAGTTGACAACATTAATAAATCAAATTTTGGTATAAAGTTAATGATTTTATTTTTAAGTATCTGATAGTCATTTTTATTTTTTCATAGAAATGTTGTTAATAATAAATGTCTGATTTTGTGGTATAAAGTGGGTGATTTATTTTTGGTACGAAATGTTCGAATTTAAATAGTATGAATTTTATTTGGAATGGATAGAATTATTTTTTAAATTATTTAAAACAAAATAAGAGCATTTACAATGCATAAATGTTGTTATCACATAAATTTTGACAAATGCCAATTGTTTATATGGATTGTGAACCACATATGATATTTGTTAAGTTCACAACTTTGTATCTAAAAATTATCTGCGTGCACAATGTGATCAAACATAATATTGTCAATTGGCAAAAATAAAAATAAAATATAAATAAGAAATAACAAATAAATTAATAATTAGATTTCTTAATAAAAGATATTCCATAATATTTGATTAAACACTAAATCCGGCTATTTGAAATCAATTATATTTAAAAGTAGTATTATTATGGAACCAAATTTATGGAACATTTTCTAAAAACGGTATAATTATGATATCAAGATATTTAACCACGATTTAATCTTTTTAATTTAATCCATATCTCTTTTTAGACTTATCAATTCATTTTAATATAATATAAATTTACCGTAAATATGAGAGTTGGACTATACAATAATCACGGTATCAATATTAACAATACTTAAATGCTAAGTAAAATTTAATTATTTTAATTGTACACTTTATTATATACGTATAAATAAATCGCCTATTTGAACTTTAATTTTTATTTTTTTCATATATAGTTATGAAATATATGCAACTTAACTAAAAGTAAAAAGTATTCTAAAGATTTCATTTCAATCATGGTAACATGTTTTTTAAAATTGCCACAATTTCCGATTCACTAATCCACTATTCATGTAAACATCTTTATGTTATAATATACGATTTTTTTTTTTTATCATTTTCTTATCACTTTTTTATGAAACATATTTTTCATTTAAAAACCGTGATTTAGATGTCCTCCAATTCGTTTAATTATTTTTTATCTACAAATGATAAAATATCGTTTTTGTTTTTTTTTTTAAACATAATTATTTTTATAAATATGTTTTACAAAAGATACAACCAAAATTCCAAATATCTGTTAAAACATGACAAAACAAAATAGTTCTCAAATTTTGGAATGAATTTGGCATAAAAAATGAGAATGATTGACAAAAAAAAAAATACTCAAAATCCACACTTTAACTTTAAGGTAACAATTTTCTTATACTCGATATAAAATTAAACTTCACCAGATAATCATATCATTAGTATCTATCACAATATTACATATTTTCACTAGAGTTTTATTTCATGGTGGTAACATTCCGAAAATCAACAGAAAAATGAAGGAATGCGGTGTCTATGCAATTCACAATTACCAAGTGGAGAGCAATCTTGGTAAATATTGATTTACGGTTACCAAATGAAAAATAATTTTGTATGGAAAAACAAAGAGTTTTTTAATAATGTATGATTTTTTTATGATGATCATTTTACGATTACCTAACAAATGTTCTATGTATTATAACTTAGTGATTAATAGCCTTCAATTATAAATTTTACTAAAATAAATAGCCGTGCATCGCACGGGGTACGTACTAGTTGTATTAAAATTTGGTGACCTAATGTTTAACTCAAACCAAATTTTACTATTTTAGAACAATAGTTTTTAAAATTAAAAATTATACATTTTTGCTTCAAGTTTTATCTGAGATAACCATTGCAAAGTCTCCTACATTCTATAAATATATCTATTTGGTAAATGTGAACTCGAAAGATGTTAGAATTGTTATAACTATGTCATTAAAAATGTAACATTAGTAAAACATATTTATTTATTTATATTTGGACCAGTGTTTTAAATAATGTATCGGTGGTCAT